CCCCAAAACCCCAAAACCCCAAAACCCCAAAACCCCTAGATGGGAAATCATGATTGGCACCTTCTTATTGATTACTTTTCACTATTCTTTTGGAAATGCCTCACAGTACTTTTTCAAATCAAGCTTGAAGCTCGGAATGCATATCTGCTTTGAATCTGCTTCTATAAAAGGTATTTAGACCAAATATGTACCTTCTAGGTCAAAGGCTGTATGTACAACGCAATAGTCATCTGAGTAAGGATTAACTACATCCAAAAACTCGTTGAGTAAAGGCTGATCAAATCTATCATTGTCTTGGACATTGTCAATGCTCACAAAGTTAGGGAATATTTGAAACATTACAGGAGTTTCCCTATAGGAGGTTTATAATAAGCTTACTTATATTCTTCAACAACATAGTCATATAATTCTCTAATGGTCACTGTTCCATCATAAGGAACTTTATGCCAAGCATTCCAAAACCCTTCTGTATTCATAGTTCCATTCTCTGTTGGATTAGGAGTTTTTGGGATTCTAAAATCAAAATCTGAACTAAGATCAACATTGTTCTGTCTGAACTTAGCAGATTCTAATTCATTCCTCATTACAGATGGGACTGAGAGGTTAACTTGGTATTCATGTAGATCCTCATTAGAGCTAATTCCTATTCTCTCTTTAATGAGTTCGTTCAGCAAAAATCCAGTAATAATTCCAGTTGTTGTGGACACAGCAGGAATTATTTTTCCTCACTCAAGTTGTGTCATCTCGGGAGTAAGATGGTCATGAGGGATCCCAAAGTTTGCAGCTCTGAGACAAGTGGCACTATGTACAAATCCAAGCATAATTTCATTATCTTTATCTAAGACTATCTGATTTCCAAGTTTTCTAAAGATGATATCTTTGACTTACTTAATCAACTCAAATGATCTAGGATCCTTCTTTATAGTCTCTCTAAGATTTACCAACCTATCAATGAAGTCTGCATGTAAGAGTACATCATCATGCTTAGGGATTGAAATAGAAGTATCCTCGATCTCCTCTTCTTGTGTTTCTGTAATAATTTCTTCCTCTTCATCATCATCTTCATAGCACTTCTTCTCTTCTTTAGGAGTATTGATCATCTTCTGAACTAGCTCTTTAGCTTTAGGTCTTAATTCTTCAATTTTGAATTCTTGACAGCCTTCTCCATACTCCATGAAGATTATCATGGCGTATCAGAAAACGTATTCAAATGGGGATTTGTCAGGGTTGATATCATCAGACTCGAGGCTACAGTATGATAAAGTTAACTTACTCAAATTCAATTGGAATCGGGTCTGCAATACTAATGAAATCCATCTTCTCCTTGATTTGCTTTTCTTTCTGTCCTTTATTAGACTCTTTTTGGATCAAGATTTCTGTGTGGAAGTATTTAGTAAATTCTAACAATGCAAATCTATGAGTTAAGAATTATTTTTACTTTAGGCATGATTCAAGGCTGATCTCAAGCCCATAGTCGTACATCCATTGAAGGCTCTGCACTAAAGATGTTACTTGTCCATATGTAAGATCATGCTGAGACAGGGTTGTATCCAAGAAGATTCTGATATCTCTCAACCCAGTTACAAAATGATCATTAAATTTAGAGAGAGCCCATTCTGTACAATGACTTATAGTATGGGGCTCATTTCTGAGAGTACAGAAAGGAATAGTTTCTTTCTTTTGCTCCTTTGGAGCTATGATCTTGTAATCAGTATATGTATTAGTCTTAAAAGGAATGATGACACTTGTATGAGCCATTTGGCCTTCAGTTCCAGATTCATAAAATGGAATTTCATGTTCTATGCATTTTACATCTAAATAAACTCTTCCATTTATATTATCTAATGCATTGATGCAAAGATCTTGCTTGCTCCAAAACTCAGACGACATTGCATGCGAATATGTGTCTAAATCTACCTTAATTTTATGTGAGGCAATGTCTAATTCAGGATTGATCAATTTTATTCTTTTCTTTGCTACTTGTGCTTTTGACTTTCTTCTATCTGAGTCTCTATAAAGAAATTGTCTGTTCAAATTAGAGATCTCCAGAGTATCAAAATCCACAAGAGTAATTTTTCCATCATGATCTGCAAGTCCAAATCCTCCTCAAGCCAAACACTTTAGAACTTCTCAACCTATAGCCCCAGCTCCAGGGACGAATACATTTAAAGTAGAAATATTTTCTTGCACTTCCTTGCCAAATGCCACAGTATAGTCATAGTATCTGCTGTCTTCTTCAAAAGTGTCTACATCTATTGGTAAATATTTCACCTGATCGTATCCAAACCATTGATCAATAGGAGTATACTTTCCTGTTAACTTCAAAGCTTCTGATGCAATGACTCCTCCGATAATAGAAGTTATTGTAATTAACTCGGATTTTAATGTCCTTACAAATTTCTGGATGACTTCCAAAGTTATCTCTTCGTCAAACTTATCACCAAATTCACAGCTGTAGATGTCTCTAAAGGTTGGAGAAGTTGCTAATTCAAACATTTGTTGTCAATCGTCTGCACAAATATCATCACTCTTCTGAGCTAATTTTCTAAATTCCAGCAACAGCTTAGCAAAGAAGGTGTGCTTCTTGAGACCTCAGACGTCAGAAATCTTTGGGTCTGATAGAGAAGACTCTAAGGGAAGATATGTCATTGTCTCTCCTCTTTTCTTCAAGCTTAATTTTGCTCCTCTTCTAAAGTCACAATATTTTGAAGTATCTCAATTAATTCTAATTTTATTTGAGCCAACAAGCTCCAAAATTTGATATTCCTTCTCATTGAGCATGTGTATCCCTTTAGACCCTTCAAGATTCAAAAATTCGACAATGTCATCCTCTTCAAAATACTCACTGCATTTAGCTCTAGTAGTGATTACACATTCTGGTGAGTAGGTCATATCCTTAATGGCTATTTGTTCCTCTTCAATTCCGGTCGATTGGACCCTATATTCATCTCCAAAATCGTTGAAAATATATCCATAAAACCCTAATGCTTCAGCAAGTATAAATGAGATGTTATGCTTCCTTCACAGATTGTTAAGGTTGTAAATATTTAAACTATCCTGGCTATCTTCCTCCCAATTCAGCCCATAAGCTTCTGTGACAATAACACAGTTGTATTTGCATTCTCCTTCAATAATTTCAGTTAAATCTAGTTCTGGGATGACTTTGACTTCAACTCCATTATTAAGGATCTTTAACTGTTTCAAACTAGCTTCAGCTCTAGTTATCCCTTCAGTCATTTTCTCTTTTCTAAGGAAATAATTAGATCCAAAGTCTCTAGCTTCAGCTTGTGTTGGGTCTCAAATATGAACAGCGTCTACTCCATTGAGTATGAGATGCTTTGCAGCTTCTACTCCAAGTCCCCTAGCTCCATAGATGAAAAATTTCATTTGCATCAGTCTCTGCTGCATATCTCTTCCATAAGTCTTGATCTGCCTTGAATATCTTAGTTTCTGCTTCTTATCCATTTTCTACAAAATTATTTAATCTATAAAAGTATTTGATTTGGGGTTTTGGGGTTTTGGGGTTTTGGGGTTTTGGGGTTTTGGGGTTTTGGGGTTTTGGGG